CTGGGATTACAAGTGCCCACCACCATACCCGGCTAATTTTGTATATTCAGTAGAGACAGGGTTTCACTGTGTTGCCAACCTGGTCTCTTAACTCCTGACCTCGTGATCTGCCCACCTCGGCCTCCCAAAGTGCTGGGATTACAGGCGTGAGCCACTGCACCCAACCAGCCCTACGGCCTTATAAAACTGACTAAAAGTCTAAAAAATGGAACTAGCAAAGGAGTAGCCAATGATGTAGGAGGAAAAGCTTGAGTCGAGGATCCGGAAGACAGTTAAAATCAGGAAGAAATCAACTGTCAAGAATCACTAATAGGATGAAGTGACAAGCAAAAGTCACTAACAGAGGTCAAAAGACCTCGAGTAAAAGAATGGACCACTGGACTTAGCAACAAAATCACTGCTAATCTTAACAATGAAATTTCTTGGAGTGGTGTTGGAGGGAAAACCTAACTGCAACAAATCCAAGAAAAATAAAAACTAAAAAATGTGGCTGGGCACCATGGCTCACACCTATACTCCCAGCACTTTGGGAGGCTCAGGCAGGAGGATCCCTTGAGGCCAGGAATTTGAGACCAGTCTGGACATAACAGCCAAGACCCTACAAAGAACTTAAAAACTAGCAGGGTCGGCCTGGTGCAGTGGTTCACACCTGTAACCTCAGCAATTTGGGAGGCCAAGGAGGGAGGATCACTTGAGGCCAGGAATTCAAGACGAGCCTGGCCAACATGGCGAAACCCCATCTCCACTAAAAAATGCAAAAAATAGCCCAGCATGGTGGTGGGTGCCTATAATCCTAGCTACTGGGGAAGCTGAGACACAAGCATCGCTGGAACCTGGGAGATGGAGGTTGCAGTGAGCCAAGATCGCACCACTGCACTCCAGCCTGGGTGAGAGTGAGGCTGTCTTTAAAAGTGGTGGCACAGGCCTGTCCCAACTACTCAGGAGGCCTGAGAGGGAGGGCTGCTTAAGCCCAGGAGTTTGGGGTTACAGCAAGCTATGATCACACCACTCTACTCCATCCTGGGTGAGAGGAAGATCATGCCTCTCAAACATAATTTTTAAACAGTCTCACTTTGTAGCCCAGGCTGGAGTGCAGTGGTGTGTTCTCAGCTCACTGCAACCATCACCTTCCAGGTTCAAGTGATTTTCATGCCTCAGTCTCCCAAAAAGCTGAGATTACAGGCGACCACCACCACACGTGGCTATTTTTTTTTTTTTAAGAGATGGTGTCTCGGCCAGGTGCGGAGGCTCACACCTGTAATCCCAGCACTTTGGGAGGCCGAGGTGGGCGGATCACGAGGTCAGGAGATGGAGACCACGGTGAAACCCCGTCTCTACTAAAAATACAAAAAATTAGCCGGGCACAGTGGCGGGCGCCTGTAGTCCCAGCTACTCGGGAGGCTGAGGCAGGAGAATGGCGGGAAGCGGAGCTTGCAGTGAGCCGAGATCGCGCCACTGCACTCCAGCCTGGGCGACAGAGCGAGACTCTGCCTCAAGAAAAAAAAAAAAAAAGAGATGGTGTCTCACCATGTTGGCCAGGCTGGTCTTGAACTTCTGACCTCAAGCAATCCACCCACCTCAGCCTCCCAAAGTGCTGGGATTATTGGCATGAGCTACCACACTTGACCTCAAATATATAATTCTGTTAAAAAAATATGGTAGATATATAAAACATTCCTTTGAGCTTTGCTATCAAGGGGCTGAGTAAGGTGCTCTGGGATTTGTATTACTAGTATTTGTGTGGTGATGGAAGGCACAGCAAGGAATTGATAAAGTTGTGAACTGCTGGAGCCATGAGGCCAATTAGGCAAAAACAAAAAGGCTGTCTTATGTCTTAGCACAATCCATCCAGTGGTATGACAGAAGGTAGTATGATTTAACACATGCATAGGTGGCAAAGTATAGGTAACAGAAATTTGTGAGGTTCTTTTCTCATCTGCTTTACAAGTTTTTTAGTGATTATACAAAGCAAGGTTATCAGCTAAGCAAGAAGTGAGAAAACTGAAGCCTTGAGAAGAGGTAGAAACTGAATGAATAAATGACTGCAGGTGGACAGCACTAAATGCCCACTTGGTAACAGCTTCTCCGCCCCATTTCAGCTTCACAGTAAAAGTGCATAGTAGTAATATCCAATTTGTCTGGGTCAGAAAAGTTTACCAGCTGTCAAATTTACTATCTAATCCACCAAGCTGTCAGATCATTTTTTTTTTTTTTGAGACGGAGTCTCGCTCTGTCACCCAGGCTGGAGTGCAGTGGCCGGATCTCAGCTCACTGCAAGCTCCGCCTCCCGGGTTCACGCCATTCTCCTGCCTCAGCCTCCCGAGTAGCTGGGACTACAGGCGCCTGCCACCTCGCCCGGCTAAGTTTTTGTATTTTTAGTAGAGACGGGGTTTCACTGTGTTACCCAGGATGGTCTCGATCTCCTGACCTCGTGATCCGCCTGTCTCGGCCTCCCAAAGTGCTGGGATTACAGGCTTGAGCCACCGCGCCCGGCCAGATCATTTTTAAAAAAACAATGTTCAGAAGCAAACCATCACAAATAGCACTTTTTATTTGACACTAATTGAAGTCTGAACTTTAAACAGATTCTTGGACTGGTGGTTCATATCCATCAGCTCGTTCAACTTTAGCACCTGTCTCGTCCCCAGTGGCTTTTCCAGAACTACTGCCTTCACCATGAAGCTCCATGAGCTTTCCCACTAAAAGGCAAAAAAAAAAAAAAAACTTGTTAGTGTATCTTGAAACAATGGTCATCAGTACTATCCAAGCATGACAGGAAGAAAAAGAAGGCCATGATATAGCCCCAAACTCCTCCTCCACCCAAAAACAATGTATTTGGCCCTACAGGAATCATGTGATTTCTCACTTACATTCAAACTTGGGCTTCTTCAGCATTTTTACTTTTCTAACGAAGACATCATGGAGAGGATAAATAGATTGGCAAGCCTTTTCTATGTCTTTTCCAATGCTGTCTGGAATCCTGCAAACCAGTAACAGTAAATTTTTTTTCTTAAAGTCCTAGTTATGAGATATAAGGGGATAAGTCATTTCCTTTAAATGTAGAGAAGCCTTGGAATAAACTTACACATGTAACACCTACCTCATTTAACCTGCATAAATCCTCCTGTAAGCTAAGCTATTATTTTCCTTTCACATGTAAAGGATAGATGATCTATCTGAATTACACTTAGTAGAGTCTTCTGAGTCCAAGTCTTATGCTTTTTCCATTACACCCTCTTAGCTAACTGTATATTGCATGGGAACATCAGAAAAATGTAAGTTATCACTGGCCATCATCTGGGACCGAAACTTTTTTCATCACTTATTCCCATGTGTTATTAATCATGAAAGGTTTTGTCTGTTCAGTATATTTTCTCTGTGTGTGTATATATATATATGTATGTTTATTATTTTTTGGAACAGGGTCTTCCTATATTGCCCAGGCTGGCCTCAAACAATCCTACCGCCTCAGCCTCCTAAGTAGCCAGGACTCCAGGCACATCCCACTGCACCCAGCTTATTCAGTCTATTTTCCAAGTAGGGGAAAAACATTTCCTGTCCTTCAACTCCATCTACTGTGAGACAGCTTCATTAAAAAAAAAAAAAAAAAAAACTATTACCATTTACGGAGTACTAGCAGATCAACTGAAGTCAGGAGTTCAAGACCGGCCTGGCCAACATAGTGAAACCCCATCTCTACTAAAAATCAAAAAAAAAAAATTAGCTGGGCATGGTGGCAGTCCCCTGTATTCCCAGCTACTCAGGAGGCTGAGGCTCGAGAACTGCTTGAACCCAGGAAGCAGTGGTTGCCATGAGCCAAGGAGGATCGCACCACTGCACTCCAACCTGGGCAACAGAGCAAGACTCTGACTCAAATAATAATATTTACTGAGTACTTACTCTTTCACGTAAAGGGATATAGCTAGAAGGATTCACAGACAGGATTTCAACAGACCTTTACCTTGTCTCATATGCTTTCCCTTATCTGAGGAATAATCAATACTCAAGGTTCTGTTGTGTGAGGAAGCAAAGAAACACTTACAATTTATTGACCACTTCTTTCAAGTCATTTGTCTGCACCTCTCGGGTCATGATTTCCATCATCTTCTTCCGGATTTGGCGGACCTGTTGGTGCTGAGCATAAGAGGTCTTCCGTATCTGATTGTTGCGTTTTTTAGTAAAACCAACACAGAACAGACGAAGCAAGTAACCATCGGTAGTCTTGACATCAACATGAGCTTCAATCATTGTCTGGAGAAAAAAGATACTGTCAGGTTTAACAGGTTTTACGTTATCCATTTATCCCTGAAGTTCTAATTTTAAAAAGCTGGACTGTCACATTCATTATTAAATATAAAGTATCCTCATATAAATAACATCTCTTAAGTTTACAGAATTAACTTCCTTGAACCTACCAACAGTTACCCCCAAATTCTTACCCAATTAAATAACCAGGTCCTCTCAACTGCCCTCCCTCCTCCTTTCTACCCTCTATCACTACTACTATGACGGCACCCAAACCCGCATCCACTGCATATACATACACCCCTTTAAACAGCTCATCCCCCTTCAAGTATATAACTACGCCAGAGGAAAACAGATTCTGAGAGGATCCATGGTATTTTATGATATGAACTTCTACAGTGATTATGTCATTTTTCAAAAAACTGTGTTGTGAATGGGTGACTGCTATAATAACTCTAAATGTACACCTTGGAAGATGTCTTTTATGTTCCAAACTAAAGCCATGTTGATGATTAAATACCCAATTTCAGAGCTAAAATATAATTAAAAACCCCTAATTAGTGGTCATATTATTGCCTACATTGAAAAAACAAAAACCATCTTGGGTAGTGATGAAAACTGATTTACCTTGTTTGCGTTTTGTAAATTTTATTCCTTAGTATTAAAACAAAAAACAAAAAAAACTCATCAAATACAATTTACAGATAAGGGACCTTAAAATATTTCCAGAAATGTAAACCATGAAGCCTTAGAGGAATGTCAGGATAAAACGGTATAATCAGTATGTATCATTTGGGACCGAAACATTTTGTCATCATTCATTCCCACATACAAAATATTCAAACTATGCCAGGTGCAGTGGCTCACACCTGTAATCCCAGCACTTTTGAGAGGCTGAGGCGGGCGGATCACTTTAAGTCAGGAGTTCAAGACCAGCCTGGCCAATATGGTGAAACCCTATCTCTACTAAAAATACAAAAATTAGGTGGCGGGTGCCTGTAATCCCAGCTACTCAGGAGGCTGAGGCACGAGAATCGCTTGAACCCAGGAGGAGGAGGTTGCAGTGAGTAGAGATGGTGCCACTGCACTCCAGCCTGGAGCCTCAATCTCCCAAAAACAAAAAACTCCCACAAAATATTCCAACTGGATAGTTAGCCAAAAATATCTGAAATATTTTCATTTCATCCTCACAATTCAATAAAATGATACTCTCACCTGCACTTCACAAATAAAGAAACTGAGGCTTAGAAAACAAGTTACTTTCCAAAGAGAACACAATAGGGAAATGGAGCCAAGATTTTAACCTCACACCAGAGGCTCTGCCACAATTATGCTCTATTGCCACAGTTAATCAACACTCACTCAATTCTGAGGTCAAAAAATATCCTGAAGACAGGCAAAACCGTCCACCTGCACCTAAACGTTCCTCAAAAAACCACTGATCTATGCAGCAAGAAAATCTGACTTTGATTATACACCACTATTAAATCTTAGATTTAAATATTAAGTAAAGTATCATGGTGTGGCAACCCCAGAGTTAGCACTCAATAACGGCAAGAAAACAAAATTTTAAATGAACTTTGTGGACATTTCACTGGTCTCAGTCAATCAATCAATAAATAAATAAAATGAACTTGCTCCTTCCTGTCATATCAAACCATGCTATCCTTGGTCAAACACCCGTAGCACAACACACTCTAAGGAACTCTGGGTCTCACCTGCCACTTTTTGACCATGGAACACATTTTGTCACGGGTAAGATCCATGCCATGGAAGTTAGTCAGGCAGTTTTTGCCCTGAACATCTTCAGTAATCAGCTTGAATTTTCTAAATGCAACTTCATCATTCTGCAAATCAGCAAGACTCACTTCAAACACACGACCCTTGAGACCATCAGATGCAATTTCTACAAAAGAAAAAACAAGTATCTTAACATTTAGGAACCATATAAGCAAAAGTCAAGCCTGTAAACTGAGGGTAGAAATTAAGTTAATGGTAAATTGTAAAGACCTTAACCTTTGTGGTCAAATCCAGACACCAGAGACTTATCGACAGTACTTATTAGAAGCTCAGAACTACCTATGGCACATTTTCTTAATTCAAAAAGCACCATCTTGCTTCTCCAAGTGCTGTACTAAAAACAAGCACCACAGGAGCCAAGGCTGCAACCGAGAGCTGACATTCCCTGAAAGTCTCCCACCACAGGACCAACAACAGACCAAGATGCCTGCTACAATATACAAGCGCCAACTTAAGGAAAATACAAACCAAAAATAAGCTACTTACTGGTTCCTTGGGTCCTGGTGACGAGCGTCTTTCCAATATTTCTTATATTGAACATAGCAGGTGCTTTCACATCATACCAATCTTTCTTAGAAAATGGATCAACCCTGGATTTTAAGAAAATGCTTAAGTTCCATTGCAGATCATTCTTACTGTGTTTATTCTGTGCTTTCTTCACTCTAGTATCACTGTTAATGTTATTTCCCATCAATATTTTAAAAAGCTAACCGGCAATTTGATACTAAAGTGTATCACACAGTGAGGTGAGGGGCACAAACATAAACCTAGCTCTTCCCACTCTATGTTTCACTGCATGCATCAGACTTCGAAAGGTTATGTCCACTTCCCACCCTCATCGGTCCTTCCACTACACAGACACGAGGAACATCCATCGGTCCTTCCACTACACAGGTACGAGTAACATGCAATCTCATTAACTTTGCTGGTACGTAATGGCATGTACTGGTAACTAAGACCCTGCATGGCCTCAAAGCTTAGTAGGAGCTCGCAGATTCCAGCGGGACCAAGCAAAGGCAGGATTGCCAGGTCCTGAATGGATAGGAGGATGCTTTCCTCAACTCCTGCTGTCGCAGTGCCATCAAACACCCGCGGAATTGAGGCAGCACGTGAGCCCACAAAACAAACATTCCAGCCGAGTCGCGGCGGCAAGCCGGCTCAAATGCGAAGTGCGCAAGGACCAGAAGGCCTGGGAAAGGCAGCCGACCTGCCGCTACTCAACACCCAGACCCGCCAGGCCGCGTTCCTGGGTGCACCAACCCGCCAGGGCCCGCACAATCCGACTGGAATCCTCGCCATCCGGCCTACGCCGCGATCTAGGACCAGCCTGCCGATTCCAGCAGACATCCAAAAAGCAGGACGCCACGACAGTCGCCACTTACACTTTCTTCTTGGCTCCCTTTTTGCCGCCTTTCGTAAGGCGCTTGTTCTTGCCAACCGCCATGGTGCTGATCAGAGAGCCGAAAAGGCGGAAATGGAAGTCGCGCGAGAACTTAGGCGTACGGGGCGGGGCGCGCCGTCTACGTGACCTTTGCGCTCTCATTCTTCCGGCCTCAAGAATTCCGCGACAGTAGAGAGCGCCACTCCTGCTACTGTCTTTGCGACAGCGCCTTCGTGTGTGGGGAGGTCGCGCGGCATGCCGCGGCACTGGAAGCTGCGCTGTGTAGACCAAGGCGTTGGTGGCCTGACGTGCAGGCGTCTGGTTACCTGTGGTTTCTGTGGCTGTGACGTCTGGAAGTAAGTTTCTGTAAAACGAGATAAAACGAGACGCCCACTCAACATCGTTCAAAGCTGAACTCACGGTCTAACCCCCAAACCGGCTTCTTCTCGAGAGTCAGTCAGCGGATCTGATTCAAATGTCGGTTTCAACAGGGCTTTGCTTGAGACCGACCTCTCCACGCTTGTTTCCTGATGCGTAAAATGGGGGTGATAAAACGGTCGGCTTCATGAGGTTTCGCAGGGTTAAATGAGTATCACTCCAGAGATGCTAGCAACGTTCTGCTTGTTCATGTGGGTGCTGGTTCATCTCAGGTGTTGTTGCTTTGTGAACATTCACTGAGCTCTACGCTTATTTGTGTCCTTTTCTATATGTCTGTTATATATTGATTAAAAGGTTTGTTAAAAGTGGAGTGAGACCGAACTCGGTGGCTCACACCTGTAATCCCAGCACTTTGAGAGGCTGAGGCAGGGGAATCAGTTGAAGCCAGGAATTGGAGACTAGCCTGGACCACACAGCCAGACCCCGTCTCTACAAGAAAATTATAAAATTAGCAGGGCGTTGGCTGGGCGCGGTGACTCACGCATGTAATCCAAGCACTTTGGGAGGCTGAGGTGGGCGGATCGCCTGAGTTCAGGAGTTCGAGACCAGCCTGGCCAACATGGTGAAACCCCATCTCTACCAAAAATACAAAAAATTAGCCGGGCGTGGTGGTGGGTGCCTGTAATCCCAGCTACTCGGGAGGCTGAGGCACGAGAATCTGAGCTCGGGAGGCGGAGGTTTCAGTGAGCCGAGATCACGCCATTGCCTGGGCAACAAGAGTGAAAGTCCGTCAAAAAAAAAAAAAAAAAGTGAAATCTCCAAATTTTTCCATTTTTGCAATTAATCCGACCTTTCCCTTCCCCATTTTTTTTAACTGTAAGGGTTAACAGAGCACATCTTGGCAAGATGTGGCTGACTAGCTCAAGTGTGCAGCCCTCGGAAAGCGTCTGGCCCATACAGGCTTGGTACTCAGCCAGTGGTGTGTTGAGTTCCTTTCTCTAACTTCCTGTCTGGCAGAAAACCCTGTGACCAAGCCAAAAACCAACCCTCACTTACAAGGCCCGCTGCAAGCTTTTAAACTTACAATCCCTTCCAGTCCTGCTGGCCTCCATCACCTACCTCCCACTACGCCCACCCCTAAGACAACCCTCCTAAACCTCTAGTAGGGTCCTGAAATCTTTCAGTAATTCCATAAATCTCCGTTGCCTGGAGGATAAATTCAAAGTCTTAGTTTCATAATAGTATGAATGTACTTAACACTACTGAACTGTACACTTGAAAAAGGTTAAGGTAGCCTTGCCAGGTTCCTTGGACCTGCAGTTCCAGGTATTCAGAAGGCTGAGGTAGGAGGATCACCTGAGGCTAGGAGTTGGACTCCAGCCTGAGCAACATAGTGAGACCCCATCTCTTTTTTAAAAAGATGGTTAAGATGGTAAATTTGGCCAGGTGTGGTGGCTCACACCTGTAATCCCAGCGCTTTAAGAGGCCAAGGCAGGAGGTTTGCTTGAGCTCAGGAGTTTGATACCAGCCTGGGCAACATTACAAGAGCTCATCACAACTAAAAATCAAAAAAAATTAGCCCGGCATGATGGCTCATGCCTGTAGTCCCAGTTACTCGGAAGGCTGAGGTAGGAGGATCCCAGCACTTTGGGAGGCCGAAGCAGATGGATCACTTGAGGCCAGGAGTTCGAGACCAGCCTGGACAACATGGTGAAACTCCATCTCTACTAAAAATGCAAAAATTAGCTGGTGGTGCACACCTGTAGTGCCAGCTACTCGGCAGACTGAGGCACGAGAATTGCTTGAACCTGGGAGGTGGAGGCTGCAGTGAGCCGAAATCACGCCACTGCACTCCAGTCTGGGCTGGACAGAGTGAAACTCCGTCTCCAAAAAAAAAAAAAAAAAAAAAAAGTGTGTGTGTATAGATAGATAGATAGATAGATAGATAGATAGATAGATAGATAAAATGGGCCTCCAGTCTGCTTACTGCAGCATAAAAACCAAACTTACCTTCTTGCTGGTCTGATTCCTCTTTCTTCCTAAAAGTGAAAGCCACAGGGAGAGGCCTTAATGAAGTCAGCTGCATCTGATTTATTTTAGCAGCACCAACACCTAAGAGATTTGTCAGAGGTCTGTATTTCTTTTTTTTTTTTTTTTTTTTTTTTTTTTGAGACAGAGTCTCGCTTAGTCGCCCAGGCTGGAGTGCAGTGGCGCGATCTCGGCTCACTGCAAGCTCCGCCTCCCGGGTTCACGCCATTCTCCTG